ATGGACAAAGAGGAACTTTTTTGTCGACTGCGGCTGGGTATGGAAATACTGTACAAAAGTTGGTGATCTTGAAGTGGAATGTTGTTTTTGTCGGAGCAGAATATCTCTTGACGTTCCGTTATGGTATTTCGATCGTCACATTGAAGATAGACATCCGAATAGGCTGACAAGTACACAGAGAACGTTTGATGACATAGCTGGATCATCAGGAAGTCAACCAAACTGAAGAAAACAGGTGACAATATGTTTTATTAATATTATTGATCATATTTTCATGAATAATTTATTTTTTACTTTTTTGAATTGCATTTAATTTAATAAATATTTAATAAGAAAAAAAATAACCAAAAAATTTGTTGTTAATAAATATTAAAATATTTATATATGTTTATCCAGAGTTGACAATGGAATGATGATAACGACGTTCAAAAAGCATCACAACCATAACGGCAAATTTAATTTTGACGATTCAAATGATTTGAAGTACACGAAAAAAGTGGCATGTCTTTTGACGTATAATTTGTTTTACTTTTATAAGTTATAAATATGTTTATAAATCTATGTGTCACACAAATAACAAGTATTAATGCTTATATAAATACGTTCATATAAGTACGTTTACAAATTTTATGTATGTGTACTATGTTTTTAATTTATAAACTATGTTTATAAGTTTATGAAGTAAGACAATTTTATGAATTAGTTATCGTCTTTTCTGTAACCATAAAACTATCGCCGATTTATTTAAGAGCATTTAAAAATATTTTATTTTTATTTCATTTTCTTATAAAATTGATTGATCATGTATTTTTTATATATACTTCAATTTATTAATAATAACTTCTGTTGAGATCGCCGAAAAGTAAAAGGTACATTAATTGTCCATAAAATATGTCAATTTTTAATTCTTCTAGTTGTATTTGATCGAGAATTGTGTTATATAATATAACAGACGACACGCATGTTTTTAAAATTAATCATGATAGAAATTAAGTCTTTAGTAACAAAATGGCATTTGGAAACAAATATCAGATGGTTTCTTTATATAATTTATAAAACGATTTATATAAAAGTATTATTTAATGTAATATTTTTATGATGAGTTTGTTTTGCATTTTTTTATACCTTCTGATCTAATCGTAATAACAGAAAATAATATTAAATTTATTCAATAATCAAAAGCTTATCCAATTTTTGCTAATAATAAATTTGTCTACTTAACACGTCTGGTAAAACGCATTTGTACTAACATGAAAATTAAATAATTATTTGTCAAAGTTATGATCAATTGTACTCGTATTATTATCTTTCATCCAGATAAATATGCAAAAAAAAATAATAACATTATTTATTAAAAAATTCAAAATTATTTATTACAATCCAATATAACATAACGTTACAGATTAATAAGTTGACAATTAATTAGATTACAAGTTTATTGCGATTTTATTTAGATGTTTTTAATTTACAATATTTATTGAATATGATTTTTTGAGAAATAGTTATTTATAATTATATTAAATTTTTGATTTTATCAAGATATATAATAGAAGAGCATTAAGAACTGTCGCAGGATGTTTTTTCTCTCTCTTCCTTTTTTTCCAATAATTCTTATATGCACATTAAATTTCTCGATATATGAGAACAATGTACTTAAAATTTCGTACGTTTTAGGTATCTCGATCTAAGATCGGTGTACAATCTAACTGTCTCTTGTGGACTAATTTATTAATTTTTTTACGAAAAATTAAAAATTTAG